GCTAAGACAGGGAGAGTTGGGTTCTCCATTGTGACCAACTTCAGGGAAGCAGTCGGAAGGGAACGTGGCTGCAAGGGAGAATGTCAGTTCAGCCACAAGGTGGGAAGGGACCCCTCCCCGGCAGGGCTCCCTAAAGGTGATGAAGGCTGGAAATGAGGAAAGAGTGTTCCCGCCAAAGCCCCAAAATGCCTTAAGGAGAGATGTCCAGCAGTGACAGCACTTGCCACTTCAATGCTTAAATAACGTCTCTACGGTCAGTGGAGAGTGGAGGCAACATGGTGTGGCTGGGGGTCTTTCTGGGCAATGTTCTGGCCCATTGCCAGGGGGGTAGACCAACAGCTGCTGGCTTTCCCAGGTGAATCTCAGATGGGTCAAGAGAGATGATAGGAAGAGTTGGCTGCAATGTCAAGACACGCAACATCTGGAGGAGGTTGAAGAATCTTTAATGTATATATTCCGGTATAACCTTCAGGCGTGCTGATACAGCACCATAACTAAGTTTATTTGCGGGGGTTTCAGCTCAGTTGCAAGGCTTCCTATTTCTTTTACTCTGGCCTCCTTCTGAGCAACCCAAGATAAAGTTTCATAAAGAATTAGCGTTAGAGATTATGTTCCAAAAGAGGATAAATATAATTTAAGACTCAAAAGCTCACACAAACTCTGGCTGTCTCTTCTTCTGCATCCCCTTGAAGTCCTTCTTGAAGAAGCTTTAAGTGCACCCCCAGGAACGCATGTGCAAAACCCCTCATCTTGGCACATTGATCAGGGAGCTAGGTCTCATTGGGGCACCTCTTCATGAGAAGTAAATCTGCGTTTGGTGGCTCCCATGTCCTCAAAACGCAGCCTACACAACCATGGGGCAGCACCCTCCCCATTGCTTTGTTCTTCCCTTCTCCACTGCAGTTTTAGAGATCTTGCTGGCACTGCCCAGAGAGGCTCCTGGTGCTTTGGATTTACAGAGGAGATAGCAGAGTGTTGAATGGGGGAGGGAGGGGGGGAGGGAGGGAGGATTTTGATTGAAATGTGTCTGTGTGTGCCTTCAAGTCAGTATTGACTCCTGGGGACTGCTTGGACAAGTCCCTGCAGTTTTCTTGGCAAGACTTTTGGAAGTGGTTTGCCCTTGCTTCCTTCTTAGGGCTGAGAGAGAGGGACTGGCCCAAGGTCACCTAGCAGGCTTTGTGCCTAAGGCAGGACTAGAACTCATGGTCTGCCTGTTTCCAGACTGGTGCCTTAACCACTACACCAAACTGGCTCTCTGACTGAAATGAAAATTATATAAAAAAATGCAGATGACCCCACCTGCGAGGAGGGTACCACAAATTCAACTGACCAAATGATAGAATCTAGAATCCTAGGGTTGGAAGGGGACCTTGGAGGTCTTGGAATTCCACCCCTGCCCTGGGCAAAATCCTCAGACCACACCAGGCAAAAGGCTGCCAACCTTTATTTGAAAGCCTCCCACGGTGGAGCACCCATGACTCCAGGAGGCAGACTCTCCCTTTGCTCCAGAGCAATCCTAGTCAGGAAATCCCACCTTAG